ACTGTACTGTAGTAGTACTGTTACACACTGTACTGTAGTAGTACTGTTACACACTGTACTGTAGTAGTACTGTTACACACTTTACTGTAGTAGTACTGTAACACACTGTACTGTAGTAGTACTGTCATACACTGTACTGTAGTAGTACTGTTACACACTGCTGTACTGTAGTAGTACTGTTACACACTGCTGTACTGTAGTAGTACTGTCACACACTGTACTGTAGTAGTACTGTTACACACTGTACTGTAGTAGTACTGTCACACACTGTACTGTAGTAGTACTGTTACACACTGCTGTACTGTAGTAGTACTGTTACACACTGTACTGTAGTAGTACTGTTACACACTGTACTGTAGTAGTACTGTTACACACTGTACTGTAGTAGTACTGTTACACACTGTGCTGTAGTAGTACTGTTACACACTGTACTGTAGTACTGTAGTAGTACTGTTACACACTGTACTGTATTAGTACTTTAACACACTGTTACACACTGCTGTACTGTACTAGTACTGTTCAACACTGCTGTACTGTAGTAGTACTGTTACACACTGTACTGTAGTAGTACTGTTACACACTGTACTGTAGTAGTACTGTTACACACTGTACTGTAGTAGTACTGTTCCACACTGTACTGTAGTAGTACTGTTACACACTGTACTGTAGTAGTACTGTTACACACTGTACTGTAGTAGTACTGTTACACACTGTACTGTAGTACTGTAGTAGTACTGTTACACACTGTACTGTAGTATTACTGTTACACACTCTACTGTAGTAGTACTGTTACACACTGTACTGTAGTAGTACTGTTACACACTGTAGTGTAGTAGTACTGTTACACACTGTACTTTAGTACTACTGTTACACACTATACTGTAGTAGTACTGTTACACACTGTACTGTAGTAGTACTGTTACACACTGTAGTGTAGTTGTACTGTCGCACACTGTACTGTAGTAGTACTGTTACACACTGTACTGTAGTAGTACTGTTACACACTGTACTGTAGTAGTACTGTTACATACTGTACTGTAGTAGTACTGTTACACACTGTACTGTAGTAGTACTGTTACACACTGTACTGTAGTAGTACTGTCACACACTGTACTGTAGTAGTACTGTTACACACTGCTGTACTGTAGTAGTACTGTTACACACTGTACTGTAGTAGTACTGTTACACACTGTACTGTAGTAGTACTGTTACACACTGTACTGTAGTAGTACTGTTACACACTGTACTGTAGTAGTACTGTTACATACTGTACTGTAGTAGTACTGTTACACACTGTATGTAGTAGTACTGTTACACACTGTACTGTAGTAGTACTGTTACACACTGTACTGTAGTAGTACTGTAACACACTGTACTGTAGTAGTACTGTTACACACTGTACTGTAGTAGTACTGTTACACACTGCTGTACTGTAGTAGTACTGTTACACACTGTACTGTAGTAGTACTTTAACACACTGTACTGTAGTAGTACACACACTGTAGTACTGTACACACTGTAGTAGTAGTACTGTTACACACTGCTGTACTGTAGTAGCACTGTTACACACTGCTGTACTGTAGTAGTACTGTTACACACTGCTGTATTGTAGTAATACTGTCACACACTGTACTGTAGAAGTACTGTAACACACTGTACTGTACCAGTACTGTCACACACTGTACTGTAGTAGTACTGTTACACACTGTACTGTAGTAGTACTGTTACACACTGCTGTACTGTAATAGTACTGTTACACAGTGTACTGTAGTAGTACTGTAACACACTGTACTGTAGTAGTACTGTTACACACTGTAATATAGTAGTACTGTCACACATTGTACTGTAGTAGTACTGTTACACACTGCTGTACTGTAGTAGTACTGTTACACACTGTACTGTAGTACTGTAGTAGTACTGTTACACACTGTACTGTAGTATTACTGTTACACACTCTACTGTAGTAGTACTGTTACACACTGCTGTACTGTAGTAAAACTGTCACTGTACTGTAGTATTACTGTTACACACTGTACTGTAGTAGTACTGTCACACACTGTACTGTAGTAGTACTGTCACACACTGTACTGTAGTAGTACTGTTACACACTGCTGTACTGTAGTAGTACTCTTACACACTGCTGTACTGTATTAGTACTGTTACACACTGTACTGTAGTAGTACTGTCACACACTGTACTGTAGTAGTACTGTTACAAACTGCTGTACTGTAGTAGTACTGTTACACACTGCTGTACTGTAGTAGTACTGTCACACACTGTACTGTAGTAGTACTGTTACACACTGCTGTACTGTAGTAGTACTGTCACACACTGTACTGTAGTAGATTTACATTGTTATCCACAAACCCAAACCCTACCCACAGAACATCGTCCTTGTCTATACCTAAAGCCTCTGTCCCATATTCGTCTGTGTATATGATCCTGAGGAACTCACCACCTTCACAGAGGAGTAGTACCCATCAGTTTTCTCTGTCCCCTATGATGAGGTTCCCCACACTGTCATACACCACACCCCAGGGGTCAAATGTTGCACGTCCTGTTTGTTTATATGTACTGGGGATGTCACCTCTATATACAAACACTTCCTGGAAGTCAGTATCCATGACAACAACACATTTGTTTCCATCACCACCGTCACTTACATCGTTGGTATCAATCACTGTGACATTGTGAGTTACTGGACACTCTGACATCCTGACTGGTGTATACACTAATGGTTTCCCAGTCCCTACAGCCATTGTAGTGAGTATCATTTGATTTTGTGTAGTAAATTTACAGATTTGTTTCTTCATCCCCACAATGATATGGTTACTGGCTGTAACACATATACACCTGGGTTCCTCCTTGGTTCTGAATTTGTTTGTAAGTCGTCCTGATACCAGCTCCATGCTGTTGTTTTCCTCGTCACAGACCCACAGTGTGTGTGTTGTGGGTGATAGACTGATGTTATTGATGCCAGTCGTGTGTGTGACCTTCTGTACTACTTTACATTCCCTGTTAAGGAGAGTTAAGGTATTTCTGTAATAATTACTGGTCCACACCTGACCATCAGTGGTGGGACATATAGACTCAATGTAACATGGAGACTTCCAGTCCTTCACCACTTTGGTCTTTGACAGTAGTGTTTTACATATCACTGCTTTCTTCCCTTTTACTCCTGTTTGTTGTTGTTTAGAGGATTGTTCCTGGTCACCTGATGCTAAGACTGACCGATCCTGGTCAGCTGATGTTTGACCTGAGGTGGTAACTGTCCCTAAGGCCAGTTGTAGATGATGTTGTGGAGTTGTGTTAGGTGTGAAGCTGGCCGTACCCAGGACAGGATTCACTGGGAGATGTATTGTATGTATTTCACACTCTGTGTCGTAGATTTCCAGGTGAGAACCTTGCTGGAGGGCCACCTTACATTCCTGTAGTTGTTGTTTTAGTTGCTTGTTGTACGTCTCCAGGTCTTTTTTGTACTTTAGAATCAGCCTGGCATTGTCCTCTTCCATCTGTTTGTAAACTGAGAGTGTCTGTGCTGTAAGTAAATCAAGGTCTTGTTTTATTTTATCTGTTTGAGATTTTAACTTGAGTGAAAATTCCTCAAAATTGCTGATGTTGTTTTTAAGGAGTGTATCCACAGAAGATATATATTCCCTGACTTGTTTCAGGTCATTTTGTTCTGTTTTGTCAATAAAACTTTTAATATTTTGTTTCTTTTGAGGAGTAATTGCACTGAGTTCACAAACATCATGACCTTTGTGAGTTGATAGTAAACATGTAAGGCAGATAAGTTGATCACATTTCTCACAATAAAGTTCCAGTGGTTTCTCTTTATGTTGAATACATGTTTTCTGACCTTTAGGACGGAAAGCGGTTTGACCGATGGGTGTTGCCATGGTGAAGATCAGAGGAATCTGAAAGGAAACAAAAGATTTTTTATATAAATTTGTTATATATATTTGTAGAGGTTTAAGTAACAAAAAATTACACGCTCATAAAATAATGAAAGACCCTACAGGTATATTGGTGTACACCACTGTTTGATTTTAATTTGTTCTTTAAAATCTTTCCCTTCTTTTCTCTTGTTTCCTCTATTTTTGCTCTTTTATGAAATCTGAATAATCCTTTTAAGAAATAGAAATAATAATATTTTACTGGGAAATCCAAGATATCTGTCAACCATGTTGTTTATCTGACCAGTTCAAAAATAAAAAGGCAAAACTAGAGGCCAAACGGAAACCTACATATGGAATTTGAGAAAGATCCATCCAGTAATTCTCAAGAAAGAGAAATTACTTTTCTAAGCAAAATTCCAAGATGGCTACTTATCACCCACTGTGTTTTTTAATCAGTCCCTAAATCAAAATAGCAAAACAAGGGACCAAGTGGAACTACAGATGAGATTCAACAAAGTTTCATTCATTACTTCATCAAGAAATAGTAATAACAAATTTCATTGTCAAAATCCAAGAGGGCCACCAGCTGTTAACAGCCATTTTGTTTCTACTGATCAACCACAAAACAAAAAGACAAAAAGGCACAACTTGTGACTAAGGATAACCTACATATGAAATTTGAGAAAGATCAATCCAGTATCTCTCAAGAAATAGTGAAAGCAAGAACTGTTCATAGGCAATTGACAGTCATTGGATGACAGACCACAGACATTGAGCATTTTAAATAACCCACCATCATCAGATGGCGAGCTAATGAAAGGTACACAAACATTATATCTGTAAGATTGGGTGACGGTAATGATATATGAATATTCTGGTACATTCAGGAATATATACCTGATTGCATTGTTGTCACCTCATACAGCAGTCATAACAAGATAACTTGGCCATGAACCTATACAGTCGGTGGAGTACTGCTAATCCACTGACATCATCAGCCGGGTCCATCAGTCTCTGGACGTTTCAACCCCTGTCTCGGAACGTCCTCGTGATGGTGGGTCGACAGTGCCGATCAACTCACTGCCTGTCAATGGATGGCTTTCAGTCTTTCTCCTCCCGTCTGCTCCACAGCCAGCATGATGCGCGTTCCGCAGCCTCCTCTAGTCTGCGCACCACCATCTTTCGTGTCCTCCCGACCACACCCAAAGCCTGAAACGTCTTCCAGACTGAGCGTGCCGGGAACCCTCTACAGCCGACATCCACAGGGAACAGCCAAGTGCGCCACCCTCGTTCCCTGCACTGTTCCATGAGGTCTGAATACTTGGCTCTCTTTCTCTCGTTGGCCTGGTCACATCGCTCTTCCCAGGGTACAGTCAGCTCGATGACTACGATCTGCGTGGATTCGGCAGACCATATCACCACATCAGGACGTAGTGTTGTTTGTACCACGTCCGGAAACTTTTTCCCCAGGTCCACTCTCATCTCCCATGTCTCTCCTAGAATGCCTGTGATGTCTGGTGTTGTCCTGGTCCCCTTATCCCCTGCTTTAACAAACCGGATGAAGGATGGTTTGTGCTTTCGTGGCGGACTCTTCCGTTTTCTCTCCACCTCGAGAACTTCTGCCATTTCTCTAAGCACCTGGTTATCCCTCCATCGGTATCGTCCCTGAGTCAGTGCTGTCTTGCACGCTGAAAGGATATGACTCATGGTCCCACGTTCTTGGCAAAGCTGACATTTTGGCTCTTCAACTAGTCCCCACTGATGGAGGTTCGCTGGCGATGGTAGGGTGTCATATACCGACCGCAGCAGGAACTGGATCCTCAATGGTTCATAGCGCCACAGGTCTGTCCATGTCAGTTTCCGCTCCGGCAGCTTCCATCTTGTCCATGTCCCTTGTGACCCCATTTCTACTGCTCTTCCTTTCCTAGCTCCTTCTTCCTCTATTCGAATCTCTCCCTGTACCATTGATCTTTTCTCCTTGTCATCTGTTCCTTCCGACCTATGGAAATGTGTTGTCCCCAATCCTTGCCGCCCTGAGCAGGTTGCTCCGATGATGTCCTGGTGCTTGAGAGCTCCCTCGGCCTGCTCCACTGACTGGCTTGCGGACCATTTCCTTCCTGTCCTAGTCTGGATCTCTGCTTGCCTTATCTTTGCGTCCTTCGAGTCCCGCAGCGTCATCACCAGTCTGGCCTTTGTGACCTTAAATTCCTCCACCACTGATGACAGTGGGAGCTGTAGTGCTGATGTCCGGCTGTAGAGCCCGATGTTGGAAAAACTCGGCGGGACTCCAAACCACCTTCGCAGGTAGCTGTTGATGGATCTCTCTAGTCCTTCCACTGTTGTCAAAGGAACCTCATATAGCATCAGTGGCCACATGAGTCGGCAGCAGTCCATGTTGGAAGATCCATGCCTTGAACTTCCCTGGAAGGCCTGACTTGTCTATCTCCCTCATCCACTCAGTTGCCTGCTTCTGCATGTTGTTGATGGTGCTTGTATCTTTCAGTGATGCATCGAACCACTTTCCTAGGCTTTTGATAGGGTTGTCCACGATTGATGGGATCTCTTGTCCTTGTACCTTTAGCTTGAACTGCCTGGTCAGATGTCCTTTCTTCAGTATCATGCAACTAGATTTCCTTGCCTTGAATGTCATCCTGGCCCATGAGACTACCTGCTCCAATGCAGAGAGAACCCATCTTGCTTGGACATGCGTGGTGGTAGTCACGGTCAAGTCATCCATTAATCCTCGATTTGATGGTTGGTAGATCCCTGATTCCGTCCTGGGCCCCCTGGTTTCCCGTCCTGCCGCCTTGATTATTAGGTTCATTCCCATGACGAAAAGAATGACGGATATGGTGCATCCCGTCACTATTCCTTTCTCCAGGTTTTGCCAAGATGTTGTAGTCTCACCAACAGTAAAACGCAACTGGATTCCATTGAAGTAGCTTCGTACTATTCCCTGTATGTGATCTGGGATAAAGTAGTGTTGTAGGGCCACTTCAATCAGCTGGTGTGGTATCGATCCATATGCATTTGCCAGGTCTAGCCACACTACTGTCAGGTTCCCTCGGCTGGACTTGGCCTCTCTAATTAGCTGGCTTAGCACACTGGTATGCTCCACACAACCTGAGAAGCCTGGGATACCTCCTTTCTGTATCTATGTATCCATTGGTCGTCATGTATGTTGTCATTCTTCTTGCGAACACCGCAAAGAAAATCTTGCCTTCCACACTCAACAAAGAAATCGTCCTGAATTGCCCAATGTCTTTAAAATCCTTTTCCTTAGGAACAAAACATCCCTCTGCCTTCTGCCAACATGATGGTATCTTTCCCTTCCTCCAATTACAGTATCCCACAAACTCACAGCCTCAACAACATGAACTCATACCAGAAGTATGAAATTCCTGTTTCCTGTGACTAGTAGTGTAGGAGATAGAGCCCAGAAAACCTTTTTTTAAATGTAGGTCAAATGTCAAATGTAGACAGAGTGACCTGTTGTTGATACAAGACACATCTCAGCAAATATGACATACTAGTGACAAGTAGTGTAGGACACATTCCCAAAATTAATTACTTTCAAAGCTCACCTTTTATATATGCCTTCAGCAGAACACATGGGATATGACTTTTTTCAACTTTAGGTCACCAAAATTTCTGAAAATAGTAAAAGCAATACTTGTAACCATCCTTGAACATACAAAGACTTTGTAATATGAAGATTGCATAACAAGAGGCCCTTGGCCTTGACAGTCATTTGAGCATAAAGACCTATGTAAAAGAGGCCAAAAAGGCCAGAATTGCTCACCTACTCTAAAGCTTACAAAGAGGACATTGTTGGTTGAAAGAAGAATTTTAAAGATCTCGACTCATTTGACCCCCGGGACCTTGAAATTAGATCAAGGTCAATCATGTGAATAAATTTGGAAGTTCATCATTCAATTATGATAAAGAATCAATATCAACAGCCTGGACCTTTCAGTGAAGAAGTTGTTTAAAGATTTCAACATAGTTAACCCTGGTGACCTTTAATCCAGGACAAGGTCAGTCATATGAATACAATTGGTAACCCTTCATCCCAGCATACCAATATCAGCACCCTGTGCCTTTTGGTTATTGAGAAAGTTGTATAAAGATTACAACACATTGACCTACAAGAACCTTGAAAGTGGGTAAAGGTCACTCATTTTACCACACTTGGTAGCCCTTCATTGATGAATGCTACAGGTCCAATATCAGAACCATGGGCTTATTCGTTATTGAGAAGAAGTTGTTTAAAGATTTCAACATTCTTGACACCTGTGACCTTAAAGTGTGATAAGGCCATTTTTTTTTTAATTTGGTAGTCCTTTATCCATTCATGCTACAGGCCAGATATACGAACCCCGGGAAAGTTTACGCATGGAGCACGGCAGACAGCACAAAAAAATGAAAAAAACACAATGGCCTTACAAGCAATATTGCTTTTGCTTGCAGAGGTCAAGACCTAGATTTATCAAATAGATACAATATTATACTTACCAAAGACATGTGTGCTTGTAATTGTTCTAGTCCTCTGAGCAAGACATGCCTGTTTGTAATTGTTCTAGTCTCAGAACAGGACACATTTATTCTAGTCACCAGCACAACAGCATTTAATTAGCCACTGTAAAATTTATTTGCTTTTATTAAATGTTACACAATATATTTCATGCACCATGTGAATATCTTTCTGTATATGTTCAATAAGAGTTACTTCCTTTGGTTTCCACTTGGAGACAGACGTACCTGGGTATCTTATAGATCAATCAATTGTACACTTACCAAATGTTTTACCCAATTTTCTAGTGGACAAGTGTTTTCTGTTTCATCACCAACTGTGACTCACCACACTGCCATCTTTAACCTATTCAAAAGATAAGGAAACATGATGAATTTTTTTAATCCTTTTATGTACCACTAACATGGGAAACTACTAAGCAGAAACCCTTTGTCTATGCACAATTCATTCAACAATGCTTCTGACCAAAACAAGCCAAAATCCAATCATTCCTCCTTGAGGAATAGGATTTTAAAGCATTTGCTCAATTCCACCTTTTGGACCCTGTCCCTCTGGCCACAGGAAGATCAGACCCACTGATAAAACTGAAAACTAGTCAAAATCTGTCATTCATGACTTATGGGGATTTTCAGAAAAAAAAGCTGAGACAGATGCTGAACATCAAACAATGGACAACGGACTGGCGACTGACACCATGCCATCACATGAGCTCACAGGTCCTTTGGACCAAGGTGAGCTAAAATGGAAACAAGAGATCCCAGAGGGATTTTGGCACACACCATTGTTTGATCTTTATTGCTCTTTGAAAGTTGGATATTTTCCCTTCTTTTCTCTGTTTTAGTTCTTAATGACAACATATTTGAACATTCCTATGCAGAAATAGCGATGATAATTTTACCTACACAATCCAAAATGGCCGCCTGGAAGCTATTTTGTTTTCCCAAACTCAAACAGGCACAACTAGGGCCCTTAAGGAACCTCTACATGATTTTAAGAAAGATCTATAGAGTAGTTCTTAAGAAATAGTGATAACAAACTTTCGAAGTCGAAATCCAAGATTGACACTTGTGGGCCATTTCTGAATTTCTGATTAGCCCCAATATCAAACAGGCACGACTAGGGACCAAGGGAAACCTTCATATGAAATTCAAAAAAAGATCCATCCAGTACTTTCAAAATCATTATCCAAGATGACCACCTTTTCCGCCTTTTTGTTTTTCTGATCAGTATTAAAATCAAACAGGCACAACTAGGGATCAAGGAAAGCATACACATGAAATTTGATCTATACCTTCGTTCTCAAGAAACAGTGATAACAAACTTTCAAAGTCAAAATCCAAGATGGCCACCTGTCGGCCATTTTGTTTTTCTGATCAATCCCAAAATCAAACTGGCACAAATCGGGACCAAAGGAACCTACATAAGACATTTGAGAAAGATCTATACAGTAGTTCTCAATTAATATCGATAACAAACTTCCAAAGTCAAAATCCAAGACGACTGCCCTTCTGCCATTTTCTCTGCCAAAATAACATGTGCACAACTAGAGACTAAGGTAAACCTACACATGAAATTTGAGAGAGATCCATCTCTGAATTTTCATGAAAAACCGATAACCAACTTCATTGAAAAAATCCTTGATGGCTGCCTGTCAGCCATTATATATTTTTTATCAGTCACAAAATCAAACAGGCACAACTAGGGACCAAAGGGAACCCTCATATCCAATTTGAGAAAGATTTATCGAGTGCTTCTCAAGAAATAGTTATAGCAAAAACTGTTTACGGACAAAAGGACCATGGACGCAGAGCAATTTGAAAAGCCCACTATCTGATGCCAGAGGCATGTATTTGGAGATTTTTTTTTCATAAATATTGCTTTTATTTCACATATAAGCTGTCAAATTATTATTTTGTTTAAAATTTGTTAAGACTATGAAGGAGATGTAAAAGTTTCAATTAAAAATGACACAGCTAATTTTTATCTCAAATTTTTTTGAATTATGTATTTGTAACGAAGAGATGTTAAATTAAATTATCTGAGGCAAACATTTTGGAATTTTTATCTATAAAACGATATATCAATATTTTTCTGAAATGCAACTATATAATCTACAGCATTAAAAAAATGTTCACCTGGAATGAGAAATCTGCGCAGGCTTTTGCCAACAGCCAGAAATCAGAGGGACAGACTGATGAAGGACAGACACAGATGAAAAATGGACAAACTGGTCTCAGAGCAGTAGAACTTGTACAATAATTAATCAAACGCAGATGTTTTTAAAGTAATTTCAGATTGAGCCTCCAGTTGTAACTATGTTGGTCCAATGAAACAAACACCCCTATTATAGTGCATTTGCACTCTTGAAGTGTCATGAAATAGACAATCCTGAAACTTACATTTTTCATTGATTACATTACCCCATGTCAAGGTAATGGACAAGCAGAGGACTGGTTCATGTAAAAGGTTGAATATATGGACTTCCAATATTTATAATACACTTAAGGCTGTTAAAGTCAAAATCCAAGATTGCTGTCTGTCGGCCATTTTATTTTTCTGATAGTCCCAGAATCAAATGGGCACAATAAGGGAAAAAAAGGAAACCTATATATGAAATCTGACTAAGACGGTCGCTAAACACCCATTTTTACTTTCTGATCAGACCAAAAAAATAAATGGGCGCAACTAGATACATAAGGAAACCTGTATGAAATTTGACAGAGATCCATTCAGTACTTCTTCAGAAATAGGGATAACAAACTTTACTCTGTGAAATCTGTCGGCCATTTTATTTTTCTGATAGTCCCAAAATCAAACAGGCATAACAGGAGGAACATATACATAAAATTTAAGAAAGATCTATGGAGTATAGTGTCGACAAACTTGAAAAGTCAAAATCAAAGATGGCCACCTCTCAGCCCTTTTGTTATTTTGATCAGACCCAAATAAGGTAAAAGCTAGGGACAAAGGGAAGCCTACATAGGAAATTTGAGAAAGATCCATCCAATACTTCTCAAGAAATAGCGAAAACAAACTTGCAAAGTCAAACTCCAAGATAACCACTCGTAGGCCATCTTATTTTTCTAATTAGTCCCAAAATTAGAGGTCATAACTAGAGACAAAGGGAAATCTACAATTGAAATTTTGTTACCTCCCTTATATTATCACACAGACGTATCCAGCATTTGTTAAATGATACCAAAATATCTTTAGATTTCATTTATAAACAGAATATTTATCGTTTGAATGGAGTATACTTTGTGTTGATTTGAATTGTCTATGCAAATATCCTGGTACTTGGGTATTGAGTGTGTAATTATCAAAGAAGCACATGTCAACATTGTGCATTGTTTGCAAGATGACAACACAAGTCTGTGTACTATTGGCGAAAACGCAATCAATCAGTAATTATATAAAACATAAGAGTTACCTTACGTGGAATGACTCCTACTTTTTAATTGCTTTGATTATGACTTATTTTATCCAGATACAACGCACTTCTGTCCTTTGTAGTAATTAAAAATACATACGCAATTAATTAGCAACTCATTTTAAAGCTTGGTCTTTTTCCATATTAACAAATAACCTTATTGACGGAACATCACACTCGCGTGTTACTGACTCCGGGGATGTAAAGTGTTCGTTCTCTGACGATTTAAGGCGGTGCCCCATCCCCATGTACGTACCACGTACAGGCGAGAATTGAGCTATGACCAAACTGTTTAGCCACGGACTATAGATATGAAAGTCTACGCTTTTACCTCTCTCTCTCTCTCTCTCTCTCTCTCTCTCTCTCTCTCTCTCTCTCTCTCTCTCTCTCTCTCTCTCTCTCTCTCTCTCTCAACGTCATCATTTATAAATATTACACAAAAGTTACGTCAATTTGCATCTTAAATACATCTATCACACCATTTGCGCGGAAATCTTCCTCCTCTTCCATTTCTCTGTCGTCTGCAAGTATGGTTTCTGTCAAAGTCGTCACAACTTGAAACTTTATGTAGGGGAAGTAACTCCGATAATATTAAGCTTCTGCTTCATGAAATTCTTAACTATTTCTACCTGTATTTTTCGATTGAAACATCTTTTCGGTCATATTTTGCGAGTTTCTAGAAATATTTACATTCAGAGATCAGCATTTGCTTTGTGTTTGTAAAGTAATCTTAACTCATTTCATTTTTTTTTATTGAAATTTGCATTAAAAAATAGCATAATTTAATAATGTAATACATGTCCCAAGTAGGCTCCAAGATGCAATGATGGGGAAGTTGTCAATTTCTTTGGATACATTGTAGGGAATGCTGATCTTGGACACCATATTATCACTTTAAATACTGCGTATCTTATTGGTTTAAGACCATTAGTTAGACCATCATGCAAATAGCATGCTACATACAAATATTGGACAGCTTCATTTTCCAGATTGTTTGTAAATGACTGAATGAGAGTGCCAATTTTCTAAAACAAACATGATTTATCACCATCACTTAAAATAGAAGATGCCTATTCTTCCGGAACACCTGGTCTTATTCTCCTTGTACTTTTTCAGGGAATCTTCAAGTAGATATTGTATTTGTTTCAATTTTACACTTGTTTTGCTGGTTCTACAATTATGTTGACATGTTTATATATTCTTTGTTCTCTAAAACTTGTCGCAAGATATTTTATTCCTCTTGTATTATCATTTTTTAACATCCTTACAGTGACCTTGAAATGTGCAAGATGTGAATATCTTTTAGGTAGTGAAATTTGATAGAAAAACGAGGGTAATGCAAAGGAAAACACCCCATGCAACTATCCGTTTTTTACTGTGACCTTGATTTTTGACATCTGACCCTGAATTTCTTTAGAAACCGACTTTTCATCATAAGGGATACATGTTCCAAATTTGATTAAGGTATACTAACTGTCTTAGTCTCAATGCGTTTACAAGGTAATAATATAGTACTTATGCAAGTACTGTGACCTCTACATTCAATCCTCAAAATCATTACTATATCCTCTCCACATTGCCCAGGGATAACTGAAACTGTAATCCAAATGATAACTAATACCCACAGCCTTAGTTATCTCCCAATGGTGACCTTTTGCACAGAAACATCCTCTGAAACACAGCGGCATGTGCACATGTTCCCTAACATTCCTGCGAAGTCTTGTTGAAATTGGTTCATAGGTTTAGAAGTTCACCGACATGCAAAACCTGTCTATATTGACCAGTTGCCATGGCAATCAACATTTCGAGGGAAAATGGTGCATGCACATCTACACATTGTCCCTAATATTACTGTAAAGTTTCATTGGAGTTGTCCCGAAAGGATGTGTCTACAGACGAACAGATGTATGGACAGATAGACAACTTGATTCGATTTACCCACCCTTTTGGTGGTATAAGAATGCACAAGAGTGCTTACAAATTCCATGTGGACAGACATCATGGAAAAATAATAATAATGATGATAATAATAATAAAAAAAACATGATAAAGATGCTTATATCTTGTTTTATTCAGTTTTTAGATACAGTATTCTTTCCATGCTTTGATCAGCAATGTAATCTTGTCAGGTCAATATCCTAGTACAAAATTTGCATACACAAAATTGTTGTAGGTAGACTTTTAAGATAAATAAAAAAAAATACATGCCTAGGTTTTAAACAGAAGTCGTATTATGTTCAGTATACAGTGATTTTTCTAGACAATTGTAAACTATAAACTCGGTATACAACGATCTTTTCTACACATTTGTAAACAACAAACTCAGTATGCGGTGATATTTTCTACAAAAAGTTTTTTTTATATATATTGTATACACTTAACTCAGAAAAACAAAATACGTAAGCCTTTCTATGTACACTACAAACTCAGTATACAGTGATCCTTTCTACACAAACTTGGTATAACTAGTGAATCTTTCTACTCAAGTAAATTAAAGATTTATACAAATTTACTACAAATGCAATATACAATGATCTTTTCCACATTTTTCTAGTTTCCGCGATTTGTTGATTCTTCTTTCGTGATGGTAAATATATTGCCGCCTTTAGAGAGTACTGTGACCTTAAAAGGCAACATGGTTGTTAGCATCTCCTCAAGTGATTAATCATCTTCAACATCTAATTGGAGGCCGGAAAGAAGGACGTTTTTCTCCACCGTAAGGTCCTCAAATCCATTGTTGGTCACAATGGCCAATTCCAAGTTAGAAGAATCAATAGAGATACCTTCTACCATTCCAGATTTCATTTCTTCAGGGACATCCACCTGCTGAAAGAGAGTAATGGAAATAAATAACTATATTTCTTAATTGCTATGATTATGTGCAAGAAATATACACTTCTGTATAAGCTTATAGTCTTGAACTTCCCAATAGGAGTCTCTATTAAATATATTGTAATCAATTATTTTGACGTTCAGGACTGTTAAATTATTAAGCAATGGACAGCTAGCAAAATAATAATATCTTGACCATGGTCATACAGAGATTGAATCATAAAGTTAAATTTGTGTGATAAATCTGTGCAGTATGATAATTTATTTTGACGTTTGTATTTCAAAAATCATTTTGACTTGAAAAGTAATGTGTAATTTAATTAATTACATTGGACCGTCATGTAATGACAATGCCATTTTCATAATGTAATTGTAATTTAATTAATTACATCATCATGTAATTGAACCCATGCCTGTTACAAACAGTAGCTGTCCTCACTGATCCTAAAATTAACTTTGGCTACGCCTATCACAAAATTAACTTTGGCTGTCTATTACAAATGCCACATTTAGCTACAGTAGAGGTATTTCAAAAATGTACGTCATTGTAGCTGAAAGGACATAATTAATGGTTACTTAACCAGAACTACAGTTCTGAACAAACCACTACAAAGCCTGGTTAACTGTACTAAGAAAATGTCCTCTCAATTAATCAATTTCATTGATTATTGACATCGTATTGTTGTACTTACGGTCACTTGAGTTTCTTAAAGTTTCAACTTGACTTTTAATAAGGCCCAAAGTGATAATACTGCAATGTCTTAATTAGCTCTCGAGGGTATTGGTTAGACTATTTATCCCATTTCATTCCATTCACCATGGAAACAAAACTCTAAAACGCTAAAAAAAACCAGTCGACAATTAATGACAAATATTGAGTCTAAGGCTGGGTAAAATTGATGAATCAAAAGTGTTGAACTGAAAGTGGACGCAGTTGACATAATACTGAAATTTCTGAGATGAACAAATACAGTACATATATTAAAAGTTCAGGCATAATAAGAATTGTACCAATTACACTTTACACATTCACACTGGGACCTTACACTTTACACATTCACACTGGGACCCAACACTTTGCTAGGTTTATCCTAATCTTCATTGAAACACCTTCCGGGTTTCAGATGTTAATTGACGTCTTCATTATTCCCAATCTTCATATTGTAATCGTTCACATGCATCACTCTTCAACAGAATCAACGAGACATCATGTCAGAAAGACAAAAACTAAATTTAAGCTAAAACTATATATATTAACTTCACATGTAAACCTTACAATTGGCATAGCTGTAGAGTTCCCGTACGATTTCATACCCTGGACTTGGGGTACTCTCCGATCAGAAATTTGAAAGAGCTAGATCTACAATAGCACGGACAGTGACTGATATCTTAAAGTAAAATCGATATATTACACAGATAGTTTCCTAGATCTATTCACGGTAGCGTAAGTAGTACAGTACAATATTACAGATAAGTTTTTTCTGTTTAATTTCCTATCTGTTGGGCCACTGACAGAAGTGACTGCGATGAGATCATTATGAAACGATCATTCAAAAATAAATCCATTTCAAAATACTGAAATACTTTACGGAAGCAACAAAAATGTGCTAGATACTTACATAACATTTTCAAATGCATACTGCTTCAAAGGAAAAGTCTTGAAAATATTTTGAAAAAAAAGTGACATGGCGGCAGTGTCCAGCTTGCGCGTCGCCGTCGAGTCTAAATTCAATACAATAATAATAAGATGCTCCTGTAATGTTACTCAATATACCTGCAATCCCTCTACCCTATATCGCCCTAAAACGGTTGTCAGTTGCCTGTTGCAAAATCTATATTCAACCCTTTCCCACACTCACCACAAAAAACCCCTGAACCGACTCTAGTACCCCACAAATATTACACACACCACACCACCCTACCTTACCTCACGTGAATACATTATAACTTACATGGATGTTTGATAAAATGAGGTCTCAGGAAGCCAACTCTGTATCTTCACACTTCTGATTGTCAAAAGAAACACACATACAAATGTATCATCACTGTCGACAAAGTTATTGTTCCTCTCCTTCTTCTATTATAGCTCTTTTCCCCGAATAAACAGATAAATTCTTTTGTAATTGCTGATCTACATGTACGGACTAAACAGACACTAATACTTCCTTGTTGTGTGTTGTTGCTAACAGTAACGATAAGACCGGTATATTGCGCAGTTGATCTGTCAAGGTTATTTTTAAAGCTCTGCAGTTTAACTGTCACGTAGTGTCAGATAATTATATGTTGAGCAGGGAGCTCTACCTAACCAGAGATGGCGCTTGATCCTGCCTTACACTAATTCAAAAGATATCTTTCTACTTCTTTCATAATTTCATGAAGACATATTCCAATATTTAAAATCAGTTATCATTTAGTATTTTAAACGTGAGATAAAGTCCAAGGGACATTTGTTGTTCTTACAATCACTACTGTTGTTACCCTTGTGTCTTTATAGTTAAGTTAGATGACCGTCAAGGTCCGTGAGCCTCTTGTTGTTCCAACTACCACTACTGCTGCTACACTTACGTCTTCATAGTTAAGTCAGATGACCGTCAAGGTCCGTGGGTCTATTGTTGTTCCAACTATCACTACTGCTGTTACACGTATGTTTTTCGCAATTTGGCGAATCTTTCCAACCACTACTTTCCCAATCATAGAGGGATATAACAATCGGTAAGTACCAGGTTATCATATTTCAGTAACCACGGCTGTGATATTGATAGATGTATGATGTAAAAAGAAATAATACATGTATTGTAACTATGTATACTTCTGTACTGTGTGTATCGTGTAAGGACATATATCTATACTGTAGGTATATACACATGTATTTGGTAATGAGACATACGTGTATTGTAGGTAGATGTTGAAATGTCATTACTTGATACATAAGTTATTGTGTATCAGATAATGACATACATCTATACTGTAGTTATATACACATATGTATTTAGTAATAAGATGTTCCTGTTATGTTATGTAGTGTCAGATAATATATTGAAGCTACATGTACATAGTTATACCTCTTTCTGACTAGATATTGAGCTAAATCATGCTTTACAGTAATGTGAAAATAATCTTTCACTTTTCTTCATCGTTTTATGAACATTTTTATACTCGAAATGTTCCTAATTTAAAAATTTGCACAAATACAGCAACTTTGATTATCGAGTTAACAGGATCGACCGTCATAAATTACAAGATTTATCTACTCATGACGTACATCTTCATATGATGTCATCTTTCTCAAGGAGAAACTACACCAAGAAACAGCCATGGTGGATATTTTATTTTATCAGTTTTTGTCGATTAATAACTGACTAAATAAATCATGGGATTTAGATAGAAAACATTTAATTTTGAATCCGTAAACAGATACTGGGATACAGTGTACCCGAAAGGAAAAATACCAAGAAATTCGATGTCACACAAACTTGGTTCACTTGTATGGGCGTAACATAAAAAATATGACGGTTTGTAGATAAGTTCATGATCTTTCAATGTCGCTTACATCAAATCATCTTAAATATTATTGTCCATATTACTTGATACCACCTTAAAAGCAAATTTAGGACCATTGAGTTTGTTTTGCCGTAAATCGTTTGACAAACTCTTAGTTTTAAAACTGAAGGCTCAGACAGCAAGCCTGATCATTTCTAATAGACTCATAGATAAAGCAACACGTCACAACATGGTTTGCAGATAAATTTTGAAAAAAGATACCATACACACCATAACAAACATCCATACACACCATAACAAAACATCCATACACACCATAACAAACACCCATACACACCATAGCAAACATCCATACACACCATAACAAACATCAGCACACACCATAACAAACATCAGCACACACCATAACAAACATACACACACACCATAACAAACATCCATACACACCATAACAAACATCCATACACACCATAACAAACATCCATACACATATACAAACACCAATACACACAATAACAAACGCTCATACACACCATAACAAACATCCATACACACCATAACACACATCTATAACACCATAACAAACATCCACACACACCATAACAAACATCCACATATACCATAACAAACATCCATACACACCATAACAAACATCCACACATACCATAACAAACATCCATACACACCATAACAAACATCCATACAAACCATAACAAAACATCCATACACACCATAACAAACATGCACACACACCATAACAAACATCCGCACACACCATAACAAACATCCATACACACCATAACAAACATCTACACACACCCCATAACAAACATCCATACACACCATAACATCCATACACACCATACAAACATCCACACACCATAACAAACATCCACACACACCATAACAAACATCCATACACACCATAACAAACATCCACACACACCATAACAAACATCCATACACACCATAACAAACATCCATACACACCATAACAAACATCCATACACACCATAACAAACATCCATACACACCATAACAAACATTCATACACACCATAACAAACATACATACACACCATAACAAACATACCAAACAAACATCCACACACACCATAACAAACATCCATACACACCATAACAAACATCCATACACACCATAACAAACATCAGCACACACCATAACAAACATACATACACACCATAACAAACATCAATACACACCATAACAAACATACATATACACCATAACAAACATCCACACACACCATAACAAACATCCACACACATCATACCAAACAGCCATACATACCATAGCAAACATCCATACACACCATAACAAACATACATACACACCATAACAAACATCGACACACACCAAAACAAACATCAGCACACACCATAACCAACATACATACACACCATAACAAACATCCATACACACCATCAAAAACATCCATACACACCATAACAAACATCCATACACACCGTAACGAACATTCACAAACACCATCACAAACATCCATACACACCATAACAAACATCCACACACACCATCACAGACATCCATATACAACATAACAAACATCCGCACACACTTTCACAGAAATCCATACACACCATAACAAACATCCATAAACACCATAACAAACATACATACAAACCATCACAGACATCCACACACACCATAACAAACATCCACCAACATCAGAAAAAACATCCATACAAACCAGAACAAAAATCCACACACACAAGAAAAAACATCCATACACACCATAACAAACATCCACACACACCAGAACAAACATCCACACACACCAGAACAAACATCCATACACACCATAACAAACATCCATACACACCATAACAAACATCCATACACACCATAGCAAACATCCACACACACCATAACAAACATCCATACACACCATAACAAACATCCATACACACCATAACAAACATCCACACACACCATAACAAACATCCATACACACCATAACAAACATCCATACACACCATAACAAACATCCATACACACCATAACAAACATCCACACACACCATAACAAACATCCATACACACCATAACAAACATCCATACACACCATAACAAACATCCACACACACCATAACAAACATCCATACACACCATAACAAACATCCATACACACCATAACAAACATCCATACACACCATAACAAACATCCATACACACCATAACAAACATCCATACACACCATAACAAACATCCATACACACCATAACAAACATCCATACACACCATAACAAACATCCATACACACCATAACAAACATCCATACACACCATAACAAACATCCATACACACCATAACAAACATCCATACACACCATAACAAACGCTCATACACACCATAACAAACATCCATACACACCATAACAAACATCCACACACATCATAACAAACATCCATACACACCATAACAAACATCCATACACTCCATAACAAACATCCACACATACCATAACAAACATCCACCCACACCATAACAAACATCCACCCACACCAGAACAAGCATCCACACACACCAGAACAAACATCCACACATACCATAACAAACATCCACACACCATAACAAACATCCACACACACCATAAGAAACATCCATACACACAATAATAAACATCTACACACACCAGAACAAACATCCATACACACCATAACAAACATCCATACACACCATAACAAACATCTACACACACCATAACAAACATCCATACACACCATAACAAACATCCATACACACCATAACAAACATCCATACACACCATAACAAACATCCACACACACCATAACAAACATCCACACACACCATAACAAACATCCACACACACCAGAAAAAACATCCATACACACCATAGCAAACATCAACCCACACCATAACAAACATCCATATACACAATAATAAACATCCATACACACAAAAACAAACATCCACAAACGCCATAACAAACATCCATACACACCATAACAAACATCCACACACACCAGAACAAACATCCATACACACCATAACAAACATCCATACACACCATAACAAACATCAACACACACCATAACAAACATCCATACACACCATAACAAACATCAACACACACCATAACAAACATCCATACACACCATAACAAATAACAAACAACATCCACACACACCATAACAAACATCAACACACACCATAACAAATATGCATACATACCATAACCAACATCCATACACACAATAATAAACATCCACAAACACCATCAGAAACATCCACACACACCAGAACAAACATCCATACACACCATAACAAACTTACATACGCACAATATAACAAACATCCATACACACAATAATAAACATCCACAAACACCATCAGAAACATCCACACACACCAGAACAAACATCCATACACACCATAACAAACTTACATACGCACAATATAACAAACATCCATACACACAATAATAAACATCCATACACACCATCAGAAACATCCACACACACCATAACAAATATCCATACAAACCATAACAAACTTACATACACACACAAACATCCATACACACAATAATAAACATCCATACACACCATCAGAAACATCCACACACACCATAACAAATATCCATACAAACCATAACAAACATCCACACACACCATAACAAACATCCACACACACCGTCAGAAACATCCACACACACCATAACAAATATCCATACACACCATAACAAACATCGACACACACCATAACCAACATTAGCACACACCATAACCAACATCCATACACACCATAACAAACATCCATACACACCATCACAAACATCCATACACACCATAACAAACATCCATACACACCATAACAAACATACATACACACCATCACAGACATCCATACACACCATAACAAACATCCACACACACCAGAAAAAACATCCATACACACCCAAAAAAAAAACATCCACACACACCATAGCAAACATCAACCCACACCATAACAAACATCCAAACACACCATAACAAACATCCACAAACTCCATCACAGACATCCATACACACCAGAACAAACATCCATACACACCAGAACAAACATCCATACACACCAGAACAAACATCCACACACATTTCAAGAAACATCCATACACAGAATAACAAAAATCCACACACATCAGAACAAACATCCATACACACCATAACAAACATCCATACACACCAGAACAAACATCCACACACATTTCAAGAAACATCCATACATAGAATAACAAACATCCACACACATCAGAACAAACATCCATACACACCATAGCAAACATCCACCCACACCAGAACAATCATCCATACACACCATAACCAACATCGATACACACCATAACAAGCATCCATACACACCATAACCAGCATCCATACACACCATAACAAACATCCGCACACATCATAAGAAACATCCATACACAGAATAACAAACATCAACCCACACCAGAACAAACATCCACACACACCATAACAAACATCCACACACTCCATCACAGACATTCATACACACCAGAACAAACATCCACACACACCATAACAAACATCCACACACTCCATCAGACATCCACACACACCAGAACAAACATCCACACACACCATAACAAACATCCACACACACCATAACAAACATCCACACACTCCATCACAGACATCTATACACACCAGAACAAACATCCATATACACAATAATAAACATCAATACACACAATAACAAACATCCACAAACGCCATAACAAACATCCATACACACAATAATAAACATCCATACACTCCATAACAAACATCAGCACACACCAGAACAAACATCCATACACTCCATAACAAACATCCACACATACCATAACAAACATCCACACACCATCAGAAACATCCACACACACAATAACAAACATCCACACACACCATAACAAACATCCATACACACCATAACAAACATCCATACACACCATAACAAACATCCACACACACCATAACAAACATCCATACACACCATAACAAACATCGACACACACCATAACCAACATTAGCACACACCATAACCAACATCCATACACACCATAACAAACATCCATACACACCATAACAAACATCCATACACACCATAACAAACATCCATACACACCAGAACAAACATCCATACACACCATAACAAACATCCACACACACCATAACAAACATCCATACACACCATAACAAACATCCATACACACCATAACAAACATCCACACAAACCATAACAAACATCCATACACACCATACGAAACATCCACACATACCATAACAGACATCCATTCTTACCATAACAAATATCCATACACTACATAACAAATATGAACACACACAATAACATACATCCATACACACCATAGCATACATCCATACATACCATAGTATACATCCACACACAAGAAACCCGGGGACTATGGCTTACTAGTCTGACGCTCCAGAGATCAAGCTAAAGAGAAGTTCTGTATAGCTGAGCTGTATATTGCAGAGTTACATAATAATATTTACTGAAAACAAAATCTGAAATTTTCATAGAGAAAGGCAGTTAAGGTATTCACTTTCTGGATATACATCCAAATTTGTCCTATGATATTGCATTATCCATCTGTCCATTGTAAACTTTAATCAATCAAAGTCATGAGGCCTTTTCAGCTTACATTTCAAATGTAATTACCAAATAAAATTGTTGTCATGAAAACTGGTGTGTGTTGAAGCTACTTGATAAATACATGAGTGGTACAGTTTATAATGAACTTGATCACTGTGAAATATGTTGGAGTTGAAACATGAATGGGTGATGACAAACTGTAGTTAGGTACATCACATGGTGCATGGACACCTCTAAACATCAGAATATCTCCCAGATTTTATGGTCCAGGTACTCAAAAACAGGTACTGAGAAACAATACTTAACTGAACTATCAAAGTCTCGAATTAATGCAGCTTCTCATAAGTACAAGTGCTGTTGCTCTAAAACCTGAAATATAGTTACATAGTAATTCATGTGTAAACCACTAAAACAATTTCTTTAATTTCATTCATTTGTATGTGTGTGTATTTTGGAAATATTTTTTTTTCTTTTCAAACATCAAGATTTATTTTAGAAAATAACTACAAAATCTTTATGTCACTTTATTTCAGAAGTTTGAAGTCATGATGAAAATAAGGTAAAATATCAATAAATCTTCTTTTCATAACTTGAGAAGAGTAGTTTTTATGTGAAATGACTGTTTGAGGATGAATGACCTTTGATAACTTGCAATTGATATCCTACAATGCATTAGTATTTAGACATGCCATTGAAATATCAAAAGTGCTTGCATGAATCAAATTCAGTTTTAAAGGTTGGGGGAATGTTTGAGACAAAACAATCCATGATTTTTTTTTTTTTTATATTTTAAAGTTTGATCATGCTGACAAAGCTGGACAGATGACACATAAAACTACATGCAAATATTTATTTTAGGTGTATTTGAGTGGCAAAACATGAGGATATTTGAGTGAATTTTAGGTGTATTTGAGTACATTTTGATGTATCTAAGTATATTTGAGTGCTCTTGAATATACTTTATCGTATTTGGGTACAATGTGTGTATTTGAGTAAAAAGTATGCGGGCTCGTTTTATATCTCAATTTTTCACTTGTGGCGAATCACGTCAGATTGGAGTGAGCTCCCTTGTTTGACGTCATAATAAACAAACCCAGCTACACAGTGCAAGGCAGTCTTTCCCCAGAAGCATCCGGACGTGTTTGTGACCCAGCGAAAGGTAAGCCCCATTTTTTGCGTCATGTGTGATTTACATGTGTAGCTCTTTCATTATTCAAATCTAAATACTTTCAATGTGTTTCTTAACATTGTAATGAAGTTGATTTTGCAATCGATTAACCAGAATCGCCCATTCTTGCAGTGTAGCGCTAGCAGACGATCACGATACCGGCATGCAGCGATGAAGGTCACTCTATGTTGATACAAACGACCTTGCTTAAATGCGACAATCGCATTTGGTCCTCATTTCCGTCATTTCTTACTGTGTTTATTAAAATGCCCATCTAAAATATTGGGTAATTACTAAAAAAATATTCCCCAGTTGTATCGTCTCGTCACGACATCACCGTAAAAGCTATCGTGACCTTGTCCTTGAAGATTTGCGAACGTGACTTTTCCCCATCCTCACTGATCACACGAATCATGGAAATGATGTCAGTTCGTAATAATTGTAAAACGCGGGGGTTACCTTGACAGACTGTAGTCTTTTACTTACGGAATATCACTGATCATTTTTGTCAGTATAATTATTATGATTGTCCCTGTAAAATAGCCTATGTAACAGTTTACTATCGTATGGAAACTATTGTTTGTATATGTATATAATCTATTTTGAATATCCAACTCCTGTATTTGAAGCAGGTTTTTTTCCCCTTTCCTCTGTGAAGGGGACATTGATAAGACCAAAATAGATCTAGTTCTCATCGCAACACTTTTTAAACTGGTGTTTCCCTTGGTTTCCCTTTCTGCCCATACTTTCAGTGCTTTTTCCACTCTTGGTTTCCTTTTGACACCCACCTTCATACGACCTTGGCTTTTGTGAGGACATCAACTTACGAACCAAAACAAACTCACACATTAGTGCTTTCCATACCTCCCCATGACAGCCCACCCCATTGACATCTGTCCCACGACAGCACAGCTACCACTCCATAACATCACATATCACTCCTCCCCATGTGAGCACACCCAACTTTCCCAAGTGAGCATTCCTTCACCCCACCTCATTTAAGCACACTCCACTTTCCCATTTGTAGATTTTATGAAAACGTATGAGGATTTAGGATAATCTAATGATTGAAATTATTTATAATATTCATCATCTAAACTCCCCACTTGATGCTGTGGCTGATTTATTTATGTACCTTAGAAACAGAAATAGATTTATATCGTCTGAAAAGTTTGCATGCAAATCTGATTAAGATATAATTGTTTTTATATTGTAATGAATAATATCCAAGATAGAAAGGACATATAAAACATTCGGTCTGTTTGGCAGATGTAGGTATATTTAATAACATGGTAAAAACACCCTGAAATGTTGGAAATACTAAAAGTTGTAAAACTTCTGACTGTTCTGTTCCTGAGGTCAGTTAGGACAGGCAAAATTGGTTTGAAAACTCCCAGTCAAACCATCCTAATATAGTGCATCAGAAAATCCTGAACCGAAAGGACACTGGACCATAGATTTTATGCAGAGTGTTGGGTAAATACTCAGGTGTGTCACTAAAAAGTTCAGCCAGGGATTACTATTTTAATACTTCATAAGACTTATGTTCTCTTGTTCTTTTTTTACACAAATATTTGATTCTGTTGGCTTATAAACAACACAAACTTGTTATGATGCAATCAGGGCCGTGGGAACATTTGTAAATTGATCTAGCTAGATCTATGATGAATTTCATCAAATTAAATATCATATGCATGTTGAAATGGTTAATCTGGGTGTACAATTACCAGAAAAAACATAAGCAGATGATTCTGTTCTAGAAAAGATTTCCATGTGATGCTGTAGAATGGTTTTATCTACAGACTGCTGAGGTAGGTGTAGCCTTGATGATGATGGTGAAGGTAACTTTGTGCACCTGAAGGCTAATCAACACTGACAGGCTCTGTCTAATACATGTGTGTGTACACAAGTGAGAAGGGGAAGAGTAGGAAGTATATATTATAACTGTCTAGATACAGTCCTCTGTAGGTAGGATTGTACAGTATTGAGCAATGTAATTAGACCTAACAGAATCCAACAGTTTCAACACACATCACTATCAACAGGTTTAATTAATTTGATTGGTCAACTAACTTATTGTCTATTTATAAGTAAAACATTCACTGCTGTGGTCACTATTTACAGGTTTAATATCGTTGGCCAGCTAACTTACTGTCTATTTATAGGTAAAACTTTCATTGCTACGGTCAATATATACAGGATTAATATGGTTGATCAGGTAACTTAATGTCTATTTATAGGTAAAACTTTCACTGCTGTGGTCACTATATACAGGTTTAATATGGTTGGTCAGCTAACATAATGTCTATTTATAGGTAAAACTTTCACTGCTGTGGTCACTATATACAGGTTTAATATGGTTGGTCAGCTAACATAATGTCTATTTATAGGTAAAACTTTCACTGCTGTGGTCACTATATACAGGTTTGATATCGTTGGTCAGCTAACATAATGTCTATTTATAGGTAAAACTTTCACTGCTGTGGTCACTATATACAGGTTTGATATCGTTGGTCAGCTAACTTACTGTCTATTTATAGGTAAAACTTTCACTGCTGTGGTCACTATATACAGGTTTGATATCATTGGCCAGCTAACTTAATGTTTATTTATAGGTAAAACTTTCACTGCTGTGGTCACTATATACAGGTTTGATATCGTTGGTCAGCTAACATAATGTCTATTTATAGGTAAAACTTTCACTGCTGTGGTCACTATATACAGGTTTGATATCGTTGGTCAGCTAACTTACTGTCTATTTATAGGTAAAACTTTCACTGCTGTGGTCACTATATACAGGTGGTTATATACAGGTTTGATATCGTTGGTCAGCTAACTTAATGTCTATTTATAGGTAAAACTTTCACTGCTGTGGTCACTATATACAGGTTTGATATCGTTGGTCAGCTAACTTAATGTCTATTTATAGGTAAAACTTTCACTGCTGTGGTCACTATATACAGGTTTGATATCGTTGGTCAGCTAACTTACTGTCTATTTATAGGTAAAACTTTCACTGCTGTGGTCACTATATACAGGTTTGATATCGTTGGTCAGCTAACTTAATGTCTATTTATAGGTAAAACTTTCACTGCTGTGGTCACTATATACAGGTTTGATATCGTTGGTCAGCTAACTTACTGTCTATTTATAGGTAAAACTTTCACTGCTGTGGTCACTATATACAGGTTTGATATCGGGTAAACTTAATGTCTTTCTTTCACTGCTGTGGTCACTATATACAGGTTTGATATCGTTGGTCAGCTAACTTACTGTCTATTTATAGGTAAAACTTTCACTGCTGTGGTCACTATATACAGGTTTGATATCGTTGGTCAGCTAACTTAATGTCTATTTATAGGTAAAACTTTCACTGCTGTGGTCACTATATACAGGTTTGATATCGTTGGTCAGCTAACTTAATGTCTATTTATAGGTAAAACTTTCATTGCTGTGGTCACTATATACAGGTTTGATATCGTTGGTCAGCTAACTTACTGTCTATTTATAGGTAAAACTTTCACTGCTGTGGTCACTATATACAGGTTTGATATTGTTGGTCAGCTAACTTAATGTCTATTTATAGGTAAAACTTTCACTGCTGTGGTCACTATATACAGGTTTGGTATCGTTGGTCAGCTAACATAATGTCTATTTATAGGTAAAACTTTCACTGCTGTGGTCACTATACACAGGTTTGGTATCGTTGGTCAGCTAACTTAATGTTTATTTAAAGGTAAAACTTTTGCAGATGTGGTAACTATAAACAAGTAAATTTGAAAATTGTTTAAACAGAAGTTTAACAGGCCTGTGCATGTGGAATGGCTCTAAATAAAGCTGAAATACAACCTTAAAATACAGTTGATAAAAAGTAAACAGTTGATATTCTACTCTAAGTATTGAACAATTGGCCACTGGCCATGTTTTCTCACTATATGTGAGAGATTGATTGAAAGAAAATGGACAGATAATTCTTTCAACGAGGGTGTTATTTACATTTATGTAAATCTAATCAAATATTTCATAACAAAGTATACCAAACATGGGAACACTACCATCAGAAAGTCAAGGAGGACTGCTTGGGAGTCTTCAGTGAATACTTTTACAATATCCACAGGCAGTGATTATTTTAAGGAGTCCTCTTCATTTTTATTGCTAAAACCATTGGTTTCCACAATGTAAAATTAAGTATTTTCAGAAATTCTATCGAGTCCCACCAAAATTCTATGAGTACAGGACTCTGGATTCACATGTAGATTTATCACTGCAGTACTGGTCCTTCTGGTAAGGACACTTTGATGTCTAAATTCCAAAGGTAATTACATGGTGATATTTGAAAAAGAATGTTCCACCAAACACTGAAAAAGAAAAGGTTAATACATGGTTTATTGAATATTCTAGTAACTTTAAAAGTTTATAAAATATTCTAAAGATTAAAAAAAATGTTTGAGAACTTCAGATTTCAGTATGAAATGAAATAAAATATGAAACGATAAAACTTCATCTGCTTTACTACATGTTCAGCTGCTTATAGGAGAATCAACCTTGTTGGATGGACAGGTGACACAGTGGTAAATGCACCTATCTTCCACTTAGATGTCCAGTGGTGGGGTTCAATTCTCTGAGTTGATGTGGAATGGTATGGGAAGAAGTCACTTGCCAAACCACGTGGGTTTCCTCTGGGTATTCCATTTTCCTCCGACAGTAAGAGCCGTCGGCCCCTGCTCAGTTTTTACCATGGCCAATGGTAGTGCTGTAATGATCAGTTATGAAATACTTAGGTTGATTTTTTAAAATTTTGCAGCAGCCATATTGTGTATATCCTGATAACAACTGTTTGGAATGATGCTCCAGGCATAAGTGTAGTCTGGGAAAACTAGATGTGTCCCTTTTTAAGTCATGCAATGCAATACTAGTTATCTTTGAAATTCAGTGATAAAATAAGTCATTTGTTGGAGAGTTGATACACAGAACATGCATCACCCAAATTGTATGATATCATTCTAGATCAATATTTTTGATGACTTTTTAGAACAATGGCAACATTAACAAATGTAAGTGATATCAGTCACCATGACCAAATATGGAATATGAAATTTTTTTCATTGATACAAAACAGCTATTCCCACAAGTTTGCTAAATTAAATTGCTGGACATAGAATATATAGTCTGTTAACTTTAAAAGCCTGAGTAGTTGGGAAATCTGAGTTAATGATAACACATTTTGCGTCCTTATTAACATTTATTAGAGTTTGGTGACTTTTTGCTTCATACTAGGCAAATTATACTTATCTAAGTAAATGAAAGAAACGATGGTAAATCATTGGAAAAATCATTATTTTGAATGTTTTGTTTATTATTTGTTCTTCAAAGTCCACTAGCAAATTAATAAATGTTTAAAACATAGAAGATAAAAAGTCTGAAGTGACAAACACATGACAATACACCGGACTGATGATGTTAAAATCAAACAATGCATACCATAATACAGGTTTTTATGAAAAGGACTTATATGTGACCATTACAAATAACAATCTGAGTCAGAATTACTTTTCTTGATTTTGAGAGTCGTATTGTAAAATCATGCCTTATGAAAGTTAGACGTCAAGAGTTAACTTTTGGGAATGAAAACCATGGAAATCCGAAGAAAACACTGATAACTCTAGCCTGAGCTCTAGCCTGAGCTTGCCTATTACCTGTCGAGTGTTGATTTCTTGTGGTATTATTCAACTGTTTCAGAACCATAATGCCCACCTTTCCACAGTACCTTAGTCCTGAGAAGGAGGAGGAACTCCGAAACATTGCAAATGCCATAGTGGCTCCTGGCAAAGGTATCCTTGCTGCTGACGAGTCTACAGGTAAGTGTGACTCCTGACAAGGCCATCCTAGCTGTTTACGAGTCTACAGGTAAGTGTGACTCCTGACAAAGCCATCCTAGCTGCTGATGAGTCTACAGGTTAGTGTGACTCCTGACAAAGCCATCCTAGCTGCTGACGAGTTTACAGGTACGTGTGACTTCCAGCAAGGGTATTCTAGCTGCTGACAAGTCTATAGGTAAGTGTGACTCCCAGCAAGGTCATCCTAGCTGCTGACGAGTGTACAGGTGTGACTCCTGACAAGGTCATCCTAGCTGCTGATGAGTCTACAGGTATTTTGACCCGAAGGGTCAGGATGACCTTTGGATAGCCATTGTATTTTGTCTGTTGTCATGGGCTGTGTGTTGCTCATCAATTTCTCATTCAGATGACTTCTTCTCAATAACTGAAAGGCACAGGGTTTTTGTATTGTATTGTAGCATGCTGGGATAAAGGTCTACCAAGATTGTGCAAATAAATGACCTTGAATTACTTTCGAGGTCATAGGGGTCAAAGGTGTTAAAATCTTTACACATCTCAATAAACATAAAACCAAGGATGCAACTATGTTGCTTGTAGCATACTGGGATGAAAAGCTACATAGTTTGTTGAAATTGATGACCTTGGTTCACTTTCAAGGTCACAGGACTCAAATGTGTTAAAAGTTTAAGTTATGTCTTTTCAATAACCAAAAGGTCACTACTATTGGTATTGGTTGGGGGAGGGGGTGGTCGCTGGGGAGATGGATGGGCTACTAAATTTCTATAAAGATTGATTTTGATCCACGTTGTGTTGAGAACTTAAAAAACTCAACAAGCAATAGATCCACAGTCATGATATTTGTGTTGTAGCATGCTTGAGGAATAGGATTTCAAGTTTACAGATATTGACTTTATGAACTGACAAAGTCTTCTGTGTAAGCTGTTTAACAGTAGAGCAATACAGCTCTTTGATCCTCTATCATATATATGTTTTTATAGTCAGATGACCATTAAGGCCCATAGGCCTCATGTTGGAATTATGATTACTTAATTTGAAATTAGCGTTGCAATAAAAAAAAAAAAATTGGAAATTGGGCCAACATTCAGATTCTGAACAGACAGGAAAACTGATAACAGAACAAACTATTTATGTGATAAATAATTCCAGTATTTCTTGTATTACTCAGGATCCGTGGGAAAGAGATTCGCCCCTATCAATGTAGAGAACACTGAAGAGAATCGTCGCAGATATCGAGAACTTTTGTTCACTTCCGACAACGCTATCTCCGAAAACATCAGCGGTGTCATCATGTTTCATGAAACGTTTTACCAAAAGACAGCAGAGGGTGTCCCATTCACAAAGGTTCTTCAGGATAAAAACATCATTCCAGGCATCAAGGTTGACAAGGGAGTTGTACCACTAATGGGCACAGACAATGAATGTACCACACAAGGTTAGTTCTTGTATACACTAGATAATGTGTTTCTGCAGATTTTTCTGTCATCCTTTTGTTTTAGAAAATGTTTCAGCAGGAAAATCATGGAAGATAAGAGAAATATACCATTTTCAGCAAGTTTTAATCAAAATAGGTATAAAAGTAAATGAAAATTGGGGGGAAAAATGGATAGGTCCATTTCTCTTTTTAGGGGCCCAGATCTACTTACCCTCCTCTAGGATTATCTCAGGGTTTGTTGGAAGTGGTCTGTATCTTTAGTGTTGTACCTGTGTATTAAGTAAAGTTAGTAGCATTCATAATAGTTGTGGTAAAGCAATAATAAACTAACTTCACTTAACCCTAGTTGTGCAATTATCACTAAGATTGGAAAAAATAAAATGGTAGACAAAAGAACAAGCAAGGAGAAAGAAGAAACAGTTTTAAGAATCAATAAAAATCATGTGATGGGGAGAATTGAGATCCCTCTTGGATCTCTTGTTATCTGTAGAGAATTATAATACTGAGGCCCATTTTACCAATCTGGCATTGTGAGATTATGTAGCATTCCTTGTTATTTTGGTAAGTTTTGTTTCAGGTCTGGATGGCCTGAGTGAGAGATGCGCCCAATACAAGAAAGATGGAGCCCAGTTTGCTAAGTGGAGATGTGTTCTGAAGATCCAAAAAGAGACCCCCTCATATCAGGCTATGCTAGAGAATGCCAATGTCCTTGCCCGCTACGCCAGTATCTGTCAGCAGGTAAAAGGCATAAGAATTATTCTTCATAGTATATCTATTCTTCTTAAAGAAAAACCTGACATTTCCACTATCAACAATACCAACCATAAACAGTCATATGCTATTGTTTTTTCTCAGATAAATAGAAACTAATAAGGAGAACATCGCCTTAATTATTTTTTCACATGAAATGTTTATGCTATGTAATGATGCATGTATGTTTGTGTGTGTGTTATAATTGTTGTTGGTTTACAGAATGGCCTTGTGCCCATCGTCGAACCAGAAGTCCTCCCCGATGGTGAACATGATCTGGAAACTGCAGAAAAAGCAACAGAACAGGTTTGAATTGTAGTCTACTAATTAAGATAGAAAACTTTGTCTAGAAAATTGATTGTGCAAGAAAAAAACAAGTTGTTTTTACGGTACTTGATACTGCTGTTTAATATCAATTTTCTGTGGTTTTCCTGTTTATGTGGAAACATCTGGTGAAAATCACAAATTATGCCATGGTCTCCATTAGTTTCTATACTTGGACATGGTACAATTATAAATTATCTATTGTAAGAAAAATGAGTTACCCTGGTAACACTATCAGAACTTAATGTGTTACCTTATACAAAGGAAGTAACCATTCTGAATCACCACTTTTAGGTCCTCTGATCAAGATAACCTGTAAGTCATCAAGCTTTGTCTGTGCATAAACTTTTTCTTTTAAACCCTACTCCTCTTTCATACCTGGATGGATTTTAGCCATATTAGGTCTGATGCATCATTGGGTGACAGTTATCATTTCTGAAATTAAGAATTTTGATGTGATCCCTACTCCTCCTTTATGCCTGGGTGGATTTCAGCCATATTAGGTCTGATGCATCATTGGGTGACAGTTATCATTTCTGAAATTAAGAATTTGGATTTGATCCCTACTCCTCCTTTATGCCTGGGTGGATTTTAACAAGCTTTAGCCTGATTCATCATTTAGGGTAGGCAATTATTTCTTCGATATCTAGGGCCGTTTCCTCAAAAGGGAAGATAAGACAAAATTTTGCTTCAAAATGCTACTCCCTTTAATGCATAAAAGGCTTTCAACCAAATTTGGTCGATACATCATTTAGAGTTGAGAATCATTTCTTAAATTCAGGAAGTTGATTCATCACCTACAGACTTGGGGGCAGGGCCTCAAAAAGGGAAGTTAGACAAGGTTTTGCTTGGAAATGTTACTTTTTTAAATGCTTGCATGGATTTCAACCAAATTTAGTTTAAAACATCATTGAGAGTTGGGAATCTTAAGGGTCTTGATACTGGGCCTGTAGCTTGCATTTTCAACAAGCAACATGTCTGGAGTAATGGCAATTGTGTAGTGCATGTATAAAGAATATGATTTCAAGTTTGCTGATGTCTTGATGAACCAACAATGTCTTCTATGTAAGCTGTAGTGTTGTTGAGCGATTTATTTCAGGCCTATTTTGCCTCTTTCATATATAGGTCTTTATAGTCAGATTTTTTATCACTGAATGTTTCTCTATACAGGTGCTTGCGTTTACATACAAGGCTTTGGCTGACCACCATGTCTACTTGGAGGGAACCCTGTTGAAACCAAACATGATCACAGCTGGCATGTCCTGCAGTAAGAAAGGAACTCCTGCAGAAAATGCACGTGCAACAGTTCTTTGTCTCAGCCGAACAGTCCCTCCCGCTGTGGCTGGTAAGTCTTCATTTCTTTAATTTAATGTCAAGGATTCTACGTTGTTAGATTTAGTGTCAAGGATCTTAAGTTTTTAGATTTAGTGGGAAGGATCTTAAGTTGTAAGATTTAGTGTGAAGGATCTTAAGTTGTAAGATTTAGTGTCAAGGATCTTAAGTTGTAAGATTTAGTGTCAAAGATCTTAAGTTGTAAGATTTAGTATTAAGGATCTTAAGGTATTTAGTGTCATGGATCTTAAGTTGTAAGATTTAGTGTGAAGGATCTTAAGTTGTAAGATTTAGTGTCAAGGATCTTAAGTTGTAAGATTTAGTTTCTTAAGTTTTTTGATTTAGTGTGGAAGGATCTTAAGTTGTAAGATTTAGTGTCAAGGATCTTAAGTTTTTAGATTTAGTGTCAAGGATCTTAAGTTGTAAGATTTAGTGTCAAGGATCTTAAGTTGTAAGATTTAGTGTCAAAGATCTTAAGTTGTAAGATTTAGTATTAAGGATCTTAAGTTGTAAGATTTAGTGTCAAGGATCTTAAGTTGTAAGATTTAGTATTAAGGATCTTAAGTTGTAAGATTTAGTGTCAAGGATCTTAAGTTGTAAGATTTAGTGTCAAAGATCTTAAGTTGTAAGATTTAGTGTGAAGGATCTTAAGTTGTAAGATTTAGTGTCAAGGATCTTAAGTTGTAAGATTTAGTGTCAAGGATCTTAAGTTGTAAGATTTAGTGTAAGATTTAGTGTCAGGATCTTAAGTTGTAAGATTTAGTGTCAAGGATCTTAAGTTGTAAGATTTAGTGTCAAGGAAGGATCTTAAGTTGTAAGATTTAGTGTCAAGGATCTTAAGTTGTAAGATTTAGTGTCAAGGATCTTAAGTTGTAAGATTTAGTGTCAAGGATCTTAAGTTGTAAGATTTAGTTGTTGTAAGATTTAGTGTCATTAAGGATCTTAAGTTGTAAGATTTAGTGTCAAGGATCTTAAGTTGTAAGATTTAGTGTCAAGGATCTTAAGTTTTTAGATTTAGTGTCAAGGATCTTAAGTTGTAAGATTTAGTGTCAAGGATCTTAAGTTGTAAGATTTAGTGTCTTAAGATTTAGTCTTATTGTAAGATTTAGTGTCTTAAGTTGTAAGATTTAGTGTCAAGGATCTTAAGTTGTAAGATTTAGTGTCAAGGATCTTAAGTTGTAAGATTTAGTGTCAAAGGATCTTAAGTTGTAAGATTTAGTGTCAAGGATCTTAAGTTGTAAGATTTAGTGTCAAGGATCTTAAGTTGTAAGATTTAGTATTAGTGTGTAAGGATCTTAAGTTGTAAGATTTAGTGTCAAGGATCTTAAGTTGTAAGATTTAGTGTCAAAGATCTTAAGTTGTAAGATTTAGTGTCAAGGATCTTAAGTTGTAAGATTTAGTATTAAGGATCTTAAGTTGTAAGATTTAGTGTGAAGGATCTTAAGTTGTAAGATTTAGTGTGAAGGATCTTAAGTTGTAAGATTTAGTGTGAAGGATCTTAAGTTGTAAGATTTAGTGTCAAGGATCTTAAGTTGTAAGATTTAGTGTGAAGGATCTTAAGTTGTAAGATTTAGTGTCAAGGATCTTAAGTTGTAAGATTTAGTGTCAAGGATCTTAAGGATCTTAAGATGTAAGATTTAGTGTCAAGGATCTTAAGTTGTAAGATTTAGTGTCAAGGATCTTAAGTTGTAAGATTTAGTGTCAAGGATCTTAAGATTTAGTAAGATTTAGTGTGTAAGAAGGATCTTAAGTTGTAATTTAGTTTAGTGTAAGATTTATCTTAAGTTGTAAGATTTAGTGTGAAGGATCTTAAGTTGTAAGATTTAGTGTCATCTAATGTTAAGTGTCAAAGATCTTAAGTTGTAAGATTTAGTATTCAAGGATCTTAAGTTGTAAGATTTAGTGTCTTTAAGTTGTAAGATTTAGTGTCAAGGATCTTAAGTTGTAAGATTTAGTGTCAAGATCTTAAGTTGTAAGATTCAAGGATCTTAAGTTGTAAGATTTAGTGTCAAGGATCTTAAGTTAGATTTAGTGTCAAGGATCTTAAGTTGTAAGATTTAGTGTCAAGGATCTTAAGTTGTAAGATTTAGTGTCAAGGATCTTAAGTTGTAAGATTTAGTGTCAAGGATCTTAAGTTGTAAGATTTAGTGTGAAGGATCTTAAGTTGTAAGATTTAGTGTCAAGGATCTTAAGTTGTAAGATTTAGTATTAAGGATCTTAAGTTGTAAGATTTAGTGTCAAGGATCTTAAGTTGTAAGATTTAGTGTCAAGGATCTTAAGATTTAGTAAGATTTAGTGTAAGATTTAGGATCTTAAGTTGTAAGATTTAGTGTCAAGGATCTTAAGATGTAAGATTTAGTGTCAAGGATCTTAAGATGTAAGATTTAGTGTCAAGGATCTTAAGTTGTAAGATTTAGTGTCAAGGATCTAAGGATCTTAAGTTGTAAGATTTAGTGTCAAGGATCTTAAGTTGTAAGATTTAGTGTGTAAGATTTAGTGTCAAGGATCTTAAGTTGTAAGATTTAGTGTCATTTTAGTGTCAAGGATTTAGTATCAAGGATCTTAAGTTGTAAGATTTAGTGTCAAGGATCTTAAGTTGTAAGATTTAGTGTCAAGGATCTTAAGTTGTAAGATTTAGTGTCAAGGATCTTAAGTTGTAAGATTTAGTGTGAAGGATCTTAAGTGTAAGATTTAGTGTCAAGGATCTTAAGTTGTAAGATTTAGTGTCAAGGATCTTAAGATGTAAGATTTAGTGTCAAGGATCTTAAGTTGTAAGATTTAGTGTGAAGGATCTTAAGATGTAAGATTTAGTGTCATGGATCTTAAGTTGTAAGATTTAGTGTGAAGGATCTTAAGTTGTAAGATTTAGTGTCATGGATCTAATGTTAGATTTAGTGTCAAAGATCTTAAGTTGTAAGATTTAGTATTAAGGATCTTAAGTTGTAAGATTTAGTGTGAAGGATCTTAAGTTGTAAGATTTAGTGTCATGGATCTTAAGTTGTAAGATTTAGTAAGATTTAAGTTGTAAGATTTAGTGTTAAGGATCTTAAGTTGTAAGATTTAGTATTAATTTAGTGAAGGATCTTAAGTTGTAAGATTTAGTGTCAAGGATCTGAAGGATCTTAAGTTGTAAGATTTAGTGTCAAGGATCTTAAGTTGTAAGATTTAGTGTCAAGGATCTTAAGATGTAAGATTTAGTGTCAAGGATCTTAAGATGTAAGATTTAGTGTGAAGGATCTTAAGTTGTAAGATTTAGTGTCAAGGATCTTAAGATGTAAGATTTAGTGTCAAGGATCTTAAGTTGTAAGATTTAGTGTCAAGTATTAAGATCTTAAGATTTAGTAAGTATTTAGTGTCAAGGATCTTAAGTTGTAAGATTTAGTATTAAGGATCTTAAGTTGTAAGATTTAGTGTCAAGGATCTTAAGTTGTAAGATTTAGTGGGAAGGATCTTAAGTTGTAAGATTTAGTATTAAGGATCTTAAGTTGTAAGATTTAGTATTAAGGATCTTAAGTTGTAAGATTTAGTGTCAAGGATCTTAAGTTGTAAGATTTAGTGTCAAGGATCTTAAGTTGTAAGATTTAGTGTCAAGGATCTTAAGTTGTAAGATTTAGATTTAGTGTAAGATTTAGTGTCAAGGATCTTAAGTTGTAAGATTTAGTGTCAAAGATCTTAAGTTGTAAGATTTAGTGTCAAGGATCTTAAGTTGTAAGATTTAGTGTCAAAGATCTTAAGTTGTAAGATTTAGTGTGAAGGATCTTAAGTTGTAAGATTTAGTGTCATGGATCTTAAGTTGTAAGATTTAGTGTCAAGGATCTTAAGATGTAAGATTTAGTGTGAAGGATCTTAAGTTGTAAGATTTAGTGTCAAAGATCTTAAGTTGTAAGATTTAGTGTGAAGGATCTTAAGTTGTAAGATTTAGTGTCAAGGATCTTAAGTTGTAAGATTTAGTGTCATGGATCTAATGTTGTAAGATTTAGTGTCAAGGATCTTAAGTTGTAAGATTTAGTATTAAGGATCTTAAGTTGTAAGATTTAGTATTAAGGATCTTAAGTTGTAAGATTTAGTGTGAAGGATCTTAAGTTGTAAGATTTAGTGTCAAGGATCTTAAGTTGTAAGATTTAGTATTAAGGATCTTAAGTTGTAAGATTTAGTATTAAGGATCTTAAGTTGTTATCAGTTTTAATAAGGCAATATGAATCTCTGTTTCAAATTTTATTCGAAATTGTCAGTAAGATTATAACTTGAAAGGCTTACAATTTGATACACTGAATTCTTTATGAGCCTTAAATATAGATTTTCATTTTCTGAACAAATAATTGAGAGGACTGTTTATAAATCAATTATTTGACTGATGTCTTCAGGAGTGACATTCCTCTCTGGTGGTCAGTCTGAGGAAGATGCGTCCATAAACCTCAATGCCATCAACACAGACCCTGGCCGCAAACCCTGGCCACTCACCTTCTCATTCGGCCGGGCACTCCAGGCTAGTGTACTCAAGATCTGGCAAGGCAAGGATGAAAATGTGGCTGCAGCACAGAAACAGCTCATCATGAGGGCAAAGGTTGGTATTGGTGTTTATTCAAGACAAGAGTCAGGTCAGGCCATAAGTAAAATGTTCAACATTTGGATAAAAGCACTGGACTGAATTTGGTGAAACAGTAGATTCCTGTATGATTATCATTTATAATGTTTCTGTTGAGTTGCTGGCAGGGAAGACAAATTTCTTACGTTGGGAAAATATGTATATATAGTTTTTTCAAATAATGTGCTTATACTCAAAGTGTGGAATTATATTATGTAAGGGGGGTAACTCTCTTCTCTTTTACATGAAATAATCCAAAATGTAGCTCAAATTTATTAATTTCTTCTTGAATATGGCTAAGTGAATGTATTTTCTGTATTTTTTAATCAAAGTCTAATAGTTTGGCTGTGTTTTACCATATCAAGGTACTATTCAGTAAACTCCCAAGAGTATGCTTTTGTCTCCCTAAAATAAGTTTTGACTCCTGGATTTTACAGATTATGTCTACTTCACATGTGTTTATACTTACGTTTGTTATTTGACTGTTAATTGCCAAATTATACAGTTGAAGGCTAACTGTTGGGTTGTAATTTATCAAAATCAGCAAAGATTGATCTAAATGTTTACAATTGTAGGCCAATGGTTTGGCAGCTGTTGGTAAATACCAGGGTGACATGGAGAGTGCGGCGGCAGCTGATTCTCTTTTCGTGGCACAGCACGCCTACTAGACACCTAAGAATGCTCCCTTGCTTACCTCCCCTTATCAATGCTGTAGTTCTACACTGGACTATAGCAGAGACATTTTCCACTTGTAAGACTTTTATATTTTATTGAACAACTATATTAGATACATCCTGCTGCAGTGTGGGTTTATCACGAGATTCACTTTCTACAGGTAACACAAGACAATGTGATGGATATGATGTATTTTTAGACATTTTTAGATACTTAAAAATCTCAGCTCTAGGCATAATATGTACTGTTTACCACATGTTAAAAGATTGTACATTTTGTGAGATATTTTATTGTTGATGTCAGCATTTATTTAACTGTTATTTATTTGCTTAATAGAACAAAATAATGAATTTGCTTTAATTTCTGTGATCCCTCTCCACAATTAAACTGTATTAAACATATTACATGCATGTACAATAGTACAATTGTTTTTTATTGAATTGTAAAAGAATCAGAGATTAACTAGTATATTTGTTCTGTTTCACTTGGCACATGCTGTAATTAGTTTATGTGACATATCTATCACTACCACAAATACGCCCCCTCCCCTTGTGAAAAAACATAAACCAAAAGTATGGAGGGGCATTTTTACAGTAAAATAAGGTAGCCACTGAAATCCACTCTGTATATTAGTGTCTTGGATAATTGTACCTTACTATGACCAAAGATACCCGCTGTTATCAATGGTTTTTAATTTTGTTAGTAATTATCACTATTTGATAATGATTATGTCTATTTTGACGATGTTATGACACAATAATAAGAAAATAGAAATAATATTCAAGTTTATAACCCATTAGATTGATACCTATGGAAAAAAATCTACAGAATAATGTTGGCTCTTACCTATGACATGCAAGAACTTATTCCCAGACTTATATATTTTGTTTGGTAGCAAGGAAGTAAAAAATCCATTTGTTGCTATATTTCAGTGACAAAACGATATTAGAATCCTTCTGCTTGGTTTTTAAGTCATTGCGTTTGATATTCTCGGAAGTTTACCTTAATAAAGATGAAAGAGAACTTGTTATGAAGACAAGTGAGGGATGAAGTTTGACCTCATCAGACAAATAATCAGCAAAATGTCAGATGTGACAAATCTGATCAGTCCCAAAATCAAAATGTCAGATGTGACAAATCTGATCAGTCCCAAAATCAAAATGTCAGATGTGACAAATCTGATCAGTCCCAAAATCAAAATGTCAGATGTGACAAATCTGATCAGTCCCAAAATCAAAATGTCAGATGTGACAAATCTGATCAGTCCCAAAATCAAAATGATCAGTCCCAAAATCAAAATGTCAGATGTGACAAATCTGATCAGTCCCAAAATCAAAATGTCAGATGTGACAAATCTGATCAGTCCCAAAATCAAAATGGCAGATGTGACAAATCTGATCAGTCCCAAAATCAAAATGGCACAACTAGGGAACAAGGCAAACTCTTTAATGAAATTAGCGAAAAGTCTCTCTGTAGTTCTCAAGAAATAGTGATAACAATTTTTCAGTCAAATTAGAAGAAGGTTATTTGAAGCCTTGTAGCAGCTAGTGCTTCAAGTTTCAGGGAGGTAATTCAGATATCCAGAATTTAGATATAGGAAAAAGTCCGATCAGGAACTGGTTGAAGTGTTCCTCTATTTTACATGTGTATTTCTAAAGGATTAAATTGGTAGAATGATAACACTGATGTAGGCCTCTACGAAAAGTAAAAGTTTGTTATAATTCAACATTTGATCAGTAAGCACATGCCATGAACACATTTAGTCACATCCTTAATGAAAAAGGGGTTTTGAGAAGTTGGATGAGTTGCATGACAAACTGTCTTTTGCAATCCAAGGGAGACAATTTGTTAGTCACATTCAAGAATAACATGCTCTTCACCTATATGGATTGGTGTTTTGTAAAACTACCAACAAATGCTTATACACTGTGCTGTTATAAGCCCACCCCCAAACTTTGAGTTGGATGTGATGTAGTGGCTCCTGGGGTGATAAGTCCTAACTTTGAGTTACAGGTGTGTTGGCAGCATGCTTGGGATATTTATAAACAAACTGAATTGTGATCAGTGTAGTGAACTTCCCAGCAGAGTGAAGCAATAACAAGACACATTTGTATCCTCAGAATGTTTATTAAACAAAAATTAATATAGCCGTTACTTTTCCCCATAACAAAACCGGTGGCAATCTCGTATATACAATACCATTACAAATTTTACCTGGAACAAGTCATGTCTGAAAACTCTCCCTCAATTAATCCAAAATATAAAAAGATATCACCATCATCCATTACCATTCCTTCATATATAAAAGCAAATATAGAAATGTTTTAATGAAAAAGAAATACTCAAGATTTTGAATAAATGCATATCCATTGGACAAAAGCTCCTTTCTTGATGCCTAAAAGATGAAAATCTGAATTCATCATCCATTCTATCAATAAGGGTAATTGTTGGTCAGTTAAATTTTCAAAACAATTCAGTTTCTCTTCCAAATTTTAAATTTTAATCTAGGTCATGTGAAAATAGCACATTGGTCCCTGACTAAATTTAACATCCAGCAGAATACAAGCATTTCATAATTATTTGAATATATTTTAATACTTTTGGCATATCGGACTTCAAATATGTCATTTTTATTGTACACTTACATTTAGTAATAAGAACATGTTAAACGTGAACCTTATATTGATGCCTTAATTTCGGTGCTAAAGCTCATCAATCCCAATGTTGCTTGTACAAATAACATAATGAATTTCTATTTATGAACGTTGATCAATAACGAAAGTCCCCAATTAAGTTTATGGATGTACCAAAATCAGCTGATGATAAAATTTTGATTTCATTTAAAATGAGATGTTAAGATAGTCCCTCCATAGAATATATGTACACTGTGTATGTAAACTTTAGTAGCATCCATACTGCAGCTTTGTTAGCTGTGAATATCTTCAGAGATGATCTAACACCTGACCACAAGTATTTCATGTTGGTAAGTCTTCTTACATGTCGAGTTGAATCGTCCACTCCACCACGGTCAGTCATCTTGAACTATAAAATGGTGAGAGGAGTTATCCTCTCCACTGGTCAGTTGGGTGGTAAGTTGTCACTGTCCAGTTCAGTGGCTTGTCCTCACTCTTGTTTTCCGTGAGCCTTCAGCATGTGCTCTGCGAACCTATATAAACATTGTCAAGTAATGATCACAGAAAGGAAAATTTTTTAATGCTATTGGGAGGGACTTGAATTTTGAAAATAATTGGATTTTGAGGGAACTTTTATTCAACAGAATAAAATGCATACAAGAAAGAAATTTTAAACGAGATCCCCGAGGGATCTTGGTGCCCACCATTGTTTGCTCTTTATATACTCTTTGAAAGTTGGATCTTTTTCCCTTCTTTTCTCTTCTCTGTTTTTGATCTTAATGATAAGACATTTGAGCATTCCTTTGCAGAAATAGCGATGATAATCTTTATCTGCAAAATCAAAAATGGCCATCTGGAAGCCACTTTGTTTCTTTGAATCAGTCCCAAAATGAAACGAGCACAAAGATAGACCAAAGGGAACATACATATGAAATTTGAGAGATATCCATTCAGTACTTCTTAAGAAATAGCAATAACAATCTTTACTAGGCAAAATCCAAGATGGCTGCCTGTTGGCCATTTTGTTTTTCTGATCAGTCCGAAACTCAAACAGTCACAACTATGGAACTTAAGGCACCTATACATGAAATTTTGAGAAAAATCTACAGAGTAGTTCTTAGGAATACTCATAACATTCTTTCGAAGTCAAAATCCAAGATGGCCGCTTGTGGACCATTTTGTTTTTTTTGATCAGTACCAAAATCAAACAGGCACAACTAGGGATCAAGGAAAGCAAAGACATGAAACTTGAGAAAGATCTATGCTGTAGTTCTCAAGAAATATTGTTAACAAACTTTCAAAATACAAGACAGCTGCCTGTCAGTCATTTTCTTTTTTGATCAGTCCCAAAATCAAATTGGCACAACTAGGGACCAAGGGAAAAGTATGAAATTTAAGAAAGATCCATTCAGCACTTCTCAAGAAATAGTGATTACGAAATTTGTTTACGGACAGACAGAAGATGGACCATGGACGCAGAGCGATTTGAATAGCCCACCGTCTGATGATGGTTGGGTAAAAAAAAAAAAAATTGTTAGTTTCACAAAACTACATGATTTTACAAAATTTATTTATTGAATTGTAAGTTATGAATACATACAAGTATATTAAATGACTAATGGAATTTCAAAGTAATTTCATCATAATTAAATTAATATGTAGAAGTAATATGTGAAGTTTCATAACATACTTCTCATGACAGTCAGCAGCCAAGTCTCTCTTACAGGATTCTGTATGGGCCACCTTATACAGCACCTGTTAACAATAACAGGTATACAGCAGGGTTTACAGGTAATACACAATATAACAGGTATACAGCAGAGTTTACAGGTAGTACACAACATTACAGGTAAACAACATAGTTTACAGGTAGTACACAACATTACAGGTATACATTAGGGTTTACAGGTAATACATAACATTACAGGTATACAGCAGAGTTTATAGGTAGAACACAACATTACAGGTATATAGCATAGTTATGAATGAGAGTCTGATCTCTGTATGACTGAGTGAATGTGAGTCTGATCTCTGTATGACTGAGTGACTGTGAGTCTGATCTCTGTGTGACTGTGAGTCTGATCTCTGTATGACTGTGAGTCTGATCTCTGTATGACTGAGTGACTGTGAGTCTGATCTCTGTGTGACTGTGAGTCTGATCTCTGTGTGACTGTGAGTCTGATCTCTGTATGACTGAGTGAATGTGAGTCTGATCTCTGTATGACTGAGTGACTGTGAGTCTGATCTCTGTATGACTGCGAGTGACTGTGAGTCTGATCTCTGTGTGACTGAGTGAATGTGAGTCTGATCTCTGTATGACTGAGTGACTGTGAGTCTGATCTCTGTGTGACTGAGTGACTGTGAGTGACTGATCTGATCTCTGTATGACTATGAGTCTGATCTCTGTATGTTGACTGAGTGACTGTGAGTCTGATCTCTGTATGACTGAGTGACTGTGAGTCTGATCTCTGTATGACTGAGTGACTGTGAGTCTGATCTCTGTATGACTGAGTGACTGTGAGTCTGATCTCTGTATGACTGAGTGACTGTGAGTCTGATCTCTGTATGACTGTGAGTCTGATCTCTGTGTGACTGTGAGTCTGATCTCTGTATGACTGTGAGTCTGATCTCTGTGTGAATGTGAGTCTGATCTCTGTATGACTGAGTGACTGTGAGTCTGATCTCTGTATGACTGAGTGAATGTGAGTATGATCTCTGTATGACTGAGTGAATGTGAGTATGATCTCTGTATGACTGAGTGAATGTGAGTATGATCTCTGTATG